TATATATATATATTTCTCTCAAAACAGATTGAACAAATAAAAAGGACAAGAGGATAGACTCGCTGACCTAGGGTAGTAGTAACAAGCCATGAAGACAGCGTCGGTGTAGTCGTCCTGTGCTGTTTTCCCTCTGAGGACATCGCAACTCCTGATGGCACAGCCCACGAACCGACTGGAGCCCCAAATGATCTGTTGATGGTGTCAGAAGTCAGAAATTTAAAATGCATCCACTCTCTTATAAATTCGATGTCATGAGCATTCGGGGTTTTTGTGGTGCTTTTTTGCGGTTTCTTTGTTTGTTTGGGTTTTTTATTTCAATTGCTACAAGCACACACACACACACACACACACACACACACACACACACACACACACACACAACTCACTCAACAAAAAGTTTGGGGCTATTTTTGACAGTTCTAAGGTAGCGAGTTCTGCAACTGCATCTACCTGCGAGAAGGAGCAGCAGGTATCCTTGGTGCGTGTGCAGCAGTCCAGCCCCTCCTCGCGGTCGTAGATGTTGTACCGCTCCAGGTGCCAGGCCCTCATGCCGCTCTCTATGGCGTCCTCCACACCGCTGTGGTGGATGCTCCGGAAGAGATTCTCGCCCCACTCGGGGTCACTGTGGTGCTGGAAGTCGCACTGGGACACCCATTTGGCTGCTTCCTGTTCCAGAGCTTTGGACCATTCCTGGGAAGGTTTTGGGGAAGCGGGAGTGGAGGGAATGGGTGGGGTGGTTGGGGGAGGGATGTAGGACACCAACTGTTATTGCTATTGCGATGGTTATTATGTTACTGTACGCATTGTTTTTGTTCTGGTTGTAATTGTTGCTGTTCTTATGTTGCTGATTTTGCTGTTGTTGCTGCTGTTGTATTTTCCCTTGAAGATGTTCTCAATACCGTTCTCCTTTTTGTTATCATTGCTTTTGGCGTCGTCTTTGTGATCGTTAATAATACTGTCAAGTCATTATTGTAACTCACGCATACAAGTATGTTCTGAGGAGAGAAGGCAACAAGCAACATTTTAGCAGCTGAATATTATGGACGTTGTGTTGTGGGCAGTACAAGCCACAGTGTGCATCATCATCATTGCCTTTCTCACCCTGGGTCAGGGTGTAGGCCACGAACAAACACGTTTCACCTTTCTCTACCTTGGGCTAGTTTCTTGATGGTATTCTATGTATTCTATGTCTTCCCACTTCTCTGTACGGTACATCAATTTCTGTGACCTTCTCCAGGTTCCACGTGGTCTTCCATTAGAACTTTTACACTGTGGATTCAAATCCAACACTTTCCTTATACAGCTGCCTGACTTCCTGAGAGTATGTCCAGGCCATCGCCACTGCCTTCTTCCCACCTCATCTCTAACTGGGCTCTGTACATCTGCATACACAGATAAAAGTTGCCTTATATACATTCAAAATCGACTAATCGTCTTGACTGTGTTACCGTAAAAGAACTACAATAAAAAAAATGACTTGAACAATACAATATACTCACCAGTCGAAACATGTCATTAGCATGTTTCTCGTCTCGACGGTAAGAGTTGTGTAAGTCCAAAAGAAGGTTGATGGCTCCAGGATCAAGGCCGCTATCATGGACTTTGTTCACGTTTACCACGGGGTCAAAGGTGAGAGCCAAAGAGATGGACGATAGAAACACCAGAGACACCAGAAGGATGTGACGGTGAGATGCCATGATGCAAGTCTGATGTTCTGTGTGAGAATTACGGGATTCTATATTTGTTATTGTGCGTGCGTGTGTATGCGTTCGCGCGCACGTGTGTATGTGTATGTTGTGTATGTGTTTGTGTGTGTGTGTATGTGTGTGTGTGTGTGTGTGTGTGTGTGTGTG